CCCGCTGGGAGGAGAGAGGCTGCTTCCCGTCTTTCCTTACAGCCCCAGGCTTCCACAGAGCAAGCCAGACGCCACGGGAGCGGGCCGACGTACCTTTTTGCAGGAGCTGTAGAGCCCATCCAGCGGAAGGGGCCTTCGGCGTCTCTCCGGGACGAAAGGCGAGCCGAAGCGGATGTAGTGTTTGGGGGTGGTACAGATCAGCGGGGAGTGGAGAAGACCTGGCAACATGTTGAGAGTTGTTGCCAAAACGGTTGGGTCTGTGGTAATCCGCCCACGGGAGCGGGCCGACGTACCTTTTTGCAGGAGCTGTAGAGCCCATCCAGCGGAAGGGGCCTTCGGCGTCTCTCCGGGACGAAAGGCGAGCCGAAGCGGATGTAGTGTTTGGGGGTGGTACAGATCAGCGGGGAGTGGAGAAGACCTGGCAACATGTTGAGAGTTGTTGCCAAAACGGTTGGGTCTGTGGTAATCCGCAAAGGACACTCGATCGGGCAGTCCTGCTTCTCGGCCTTGTCATTCAGCCATTCCGTGACCAGGTACTGAAGAGAGCAGAGCGCACAGTCACCAAGCGCCCAGCGAAGGGCAGACCCCGCCCGGTCTCCTCCCACACAGCGCTGGGCCAGCCGAGCCGCCTCCCTCTTACCTTTTTAGTTTTGGGGTACTTGGCTGTGGCCCGGTTCACCTGGGGGCCTGCAGGCAGCGCCACAGGCAGGTCAGAGCCCAGCAGTGGCCTGCTTTCTCCTGGCCCCTCCACGCTGCTGACCTCCGCGGCAGTCACTGCGCTGACGTTGGGTCCCTCCTCGGGGGCAGCCTGGGCGAGCTCGACGTGCTGGGTCACGGCCTGCTTCTGCCGCCTCAACCTCTGGGCCGAGCTGCTCCGATAGCGCGAGAAGCGACTTCTGGGCCGGGGCCGGGCAGGCTTGGCGGGGGCAGGCTTCGCGGCGGCCTTCTCCGGGCCTGGGTCCTGCAGCGCAAAGCGCAGCATGAGGCTGGGACGCTCCTCTGTGCACGGGAGTTCGGAGCACCAGCCGGCCCTGGAGAGCCTAGCCAGCTGGGGCACTGGACCCCGGGCTCAAAGAGGGGACATGTGCGCGCCTGTTTCTTCCTGCCCCAGGCAGCGCCGAGCGCCTCCATTCCGGGGCTGGGCAAGGGAGGGACTGGCACGGCCCAAAAGGGTCCTAGCTTCAGCACCGCGCCAGACAACACCCGCACGCTGGCTCGCTCCCAGCGCCGTGGGACACTTGGGAACAGGAACTCAGCAAGCGTCTGCCCCCACGGCCTGGGGCAGCTGGAGAGCGCAGCAACACGCTGGCCACCAGAGAGGAACCCTGCAGGGGGCGACCAGGCGACAGCCCCTCTTCCAACTCACCAGCGCCTGTGTGGATCGCCGCGTATGCACCCCAACATTGCTGCTGCTGGCCGGGGTGCTCGCAGCAGCCCCACTGAACGCTGCAGTGATGTCCTCAGTGTCTGGAGTCTCCATTTTCACCTCCTCCAGCTCAGGAGTCTCAGGGTTAACCAGGAATTCGGCATCTGAGCTGGTCCGGTCTGAGGGCTGCTCTCGCCTTCTCTTTCTCCTCTCCAAGCTTTCAAACATGTGCATGATGGCTTCCACCTTCCTCTCCTCCCGGGACTAGCACCCACAGACACAGGCCCAGGTCAGCAATCCCAGGCAAGCCAGAGAACGGGAAGAAGGAAAAGAGCCGGAGTGAGAGGAGGGGGATGGCACAGAAGAGGGCTGAGTAGGGGGAGGATTGGGGATTCTTGGAGAACTGCAATTACTCAATGAAAGGCGACTGCTTGAACTAGGCTGGCTCAGCGCCCGGCAACAGAACTGGCAGGCGTGCTGAGAGAGGAGACGACCTGCAACCCACCACCCAGCACAGCGGTCGCCAGGCCTTCCGGACGGGTTTTGCTACTGCAGCTGCCTCTCCCCCCACTGCTGCTCCCCTCCTGCTCGCTGGGTGGGGCTGACGTCAGGGTGCCCCCCTCCCACCTGTCTCCACAGAGCGGGTTGGGGGGCTCCCCACTGAAACCGGACACCCTGCTGCAAGTGCCTGACTGCAGCATTCGTTTCCCATGTAGGTTCTTACAGACTAATTCAGCGACGCGAACGTTCTCTGCGTGCGGCCCCCCGGAGCAAGCTCCCTGCCTCTCCCACGCTAGCGAAGGGGCTCTGCCCTCAGAGACCGGGCGGCTGGGCCATGCGTGCAGGCCGCTCTTCGACACCCGGCATGGCCTAGTGCTCTGCGCTCTTTGGCCGCAGCTTCCCAGGTGCTCGCGGGCAGCTGACGCGCCGCCTTGCAAGTGGCTGGTGCCAGGAGAGGGTTCCTGGCACGGCAGCCCAGAAGGGACCAGCATGCTTGTCCAGTCTGAGCGGCACTGGGCGGGCCCAACGCCCCGTGCTACAGAGGAAGTGAACCCGTCTGGGGTCCCTGCCGAGCTGAGCAGGGAGCGATTCCCTCCCAGTCCCAAGCATGGCAAGAAGCAAGACCCCGACCCAGCAGCCCGGCACTGGGGGACTCTCTTGGGTAACTCAGAGCCTTCTCCGGCCAGAGTCTCTTCCCTGGCTACTAGCAGATGCAGACTGCAGGCCAGGGCTATTCCACTTTGGAAGCCCGGGGGCCACAATGACACTCACAGCATATGCCGAGGGCCGCAACTTAAGTGTGGTTGCGTAGACATGCAAATCTATATGCAAATCTATGCAAATAGCTTCTTTTACACTGACAGGCATGGATTTAGAGATTGAGGCAAAACTACACAACATGCGGGCCCCGTTTACGTCGGCTCTGCTGCTAATAATCAAACGCTCCAGGGATCGCGCTACTACCCGCAGCTCAGCAGCAGGCCGCTCTAGTGACGACTTTTGGGGTTTGGCTCCCGCGTGGAGCCCCCCGTAACCCCAAACCACACGGTGGGCCGCATGTTGAGCAGCCCTGCTGCAGGCGATCCCATCAGACCAGGCGTTTCAATGTCCCTAGCCAGCCGTGTACTGGAATCCTGGCGTGCAGTCTGCCCGGTTCCCCTCCTGGACTCCTGTCACTGAACACCCCGCTCCATCTCCGAACCTCCACTGACTCACCCGTCTGCTGTGCGCTCCCTCCTCCTCTGGCTTCTCTTCCGTATCCGCAGCCTGGAGCAGAGAGAGCGAGGCCTCAGCAGACTGCCCACGGCAGCGCTGGGAGAGTCTGGCTCACAGGGCGGATGCAGGGCTTCTTCTGAAGGCCCCACAACCCTGGTCTTCAGGTGTCAAATCTTACCTCATTGTCGCTGGCTGCAGCAGGTCCTTCTGGAGCATCCTCGGCCCGCTGGCTGCTGTTCTCATCTGACCCCGCGCCCTGCTGCTCTAGCTCCAGCTCCCTCCGACGGGCTTTCCGGCGCCTGGTCTCTGCCCCAATCATCAGCCGGCCTGGCCCGGGTGCGGGGTGCTCGGCAGCGCTTGGGTGCCGTTTCTGTACAGGGCAATTCCTGTTCCCCTTCTGACACGCACAGTCCACCTTATAGTTGCTGGTCCGAAAGACAAACACATCTGTGTGACGCCGCATTTCAGCTCCAGCTCCCTCCGACGGGCTTTCCGGCGCCTGGTCTCTGCCCCAATCATCAGCCGGCCTGGCCCGGGTGCGGGGTGCTCGGCAGCGCTTGGGTGCCGTTTCTGTACAGGGCAATTCCTGTTCCCCTTCTGACACGCACAGTCCACCTTATAGTTGCTGGTCCGAAAGACAAACACATCTGTGTGACGCCGCATTTCCCGACAGCAAGGAGACCTGGCTCCCCACCTGCTACAGCACACAAGAGCCCTCTAGAACCGGGCAGAATAAAACGTTAAAATGCAATTCAGTAGATAATGGAAAGAAAGGAAGGCTGGAGGGGGAGCGGGCCCCCAGCGGGCGAGGGGGGCCCCGAGGAGGGGGAGAGG